CATAAATATTAGTATATACACACCCTCCCAGTCACATTTAATACCAATGGAATAGCTGAACTGTGGCCTTCAATATTAATATAACACACATAATGTGATCTTTAATACCAATGGAAATACTGTATTAGTATTAAAGGCAAGAGGGCATATATTAGTTCTAGATGTTCTGGTATGGACATCCTATTAATATTAAATGGCACAGGGCAACAATTATGTAAGCTTCAAATGCTATAGTTTGGACATCTTCTTAGTTAAAGACCAGAAAGCAGCTATTATATTAGTTTTATATGCTATAGTACAGATTATATATTAATATTGAAGGTCACAGGGCAGCTAATATATTTGTTTTAGAGTTCATAATATGGATATTATATTAATATTGAAGGCTACATATTATATTAGTACTAGAAGCCACAGGATATTTATTTTATTAGTATTAATGCCACAACAAGCTATTTTTAAGGAGTTATAAGCTAAGTTTAAGGAGTTATAGAATGGAGTTTGAGTTAATAATAAAAGCCACTTTGCAACTCTTACATTACAGTTAAACACTATTTTATGGATATTATATTAGTACTTATTAGATATTATTATATATTATATTAGTAGTAAAGGCCACAATACAATTATTATATCAGATTTAGATGCTATAGGATGAGTATTATATTAGTAATAAATGAGGCAGTGCAGCTATTCATTTTACATACTATAATATGAATATCTTATTATTAAAAGCTTCATGGCATACATTATCTTAGGTTTTGATACAATAATATGCGTATCATATTAGAATTAAAAAAACACCGACAGTTACTATATTCAATTTTGACGCTATAATATGAATATCATGTCAGTTTTTAAGCACACAGGACAGCTATAATATTACTTTTAGGTTCTATTGTATGGATATCTTATTAGTATTAAAGATCACAAGGCAGATATTATATGATATTATATTAGATTAAGATTCTATAATATGAATATTATATTAGTACTAAAATCCACAGAGAACCTATTATATTGGTTTTAGATGCTATAATAATGATGCTATAGTAAGGGTAAATTACCTACCACAGGCAGGTAATTTATCAATTTTCAAAGCTATCATATGGATAATGTCAGTATTAAAGGTCACAGGGCAGCTGTTGTATTAGTTTTACATGCCATAATGAGGCTATCATGTTTCTGTTATAGCATCTATTCTCTGCAGGTATTTTGTCAGCTTTATCTAATAATATGAATAATAGTATTCAAGGCCACATGGCAGCTATTCTATTTGTTTTAGATGCTGTAGTACTATATTACACCATTATTAAAGACTCCAGGGAAGCTATTTTGTTATATTTAGATGGTAGAATATGGATATCATGTTAGTATAGTATTAAAGGCTGCAAGAAAACTATTATGCCACTTTTAATAGCTATAGTAAAGGCCATAGAAGAGATCTTCAGTTTTAGATACTACAACAAGGATGTCATATTAATAATTAATAATAATATAATGATAATATAATGATTATATTAATATAATATACAGGGAATTTACAATATTAGTTTTATGGGTTACTCTATGGATGTTATATTATTATTAAAAATCACAGGGTAGTTGGGCTGGGATTGTGGCCTAGCACATGTGAGGCACTGAGTTCAATTCTCAGCACCACAATAAAAAAAAAAAAAGGTATTATTTCCATATACAACTAAAACAATATTTTTTAAAAATTCAGTGTAGCTATTATATTAGTTTTATATGTCACAGTATGAATATTATGTTAATATTTAAGGCCATAGGGAAGCTAATATATTGTTTTTAGATGGTATATATGAATATATATATTTAATATATACATTTAAATATATTAAATTTTAAAAAGTATGAAAGCCCACGGGCAAATATTTTATTAGTTTTAGGTGCTAGTTTATCAATATCATATTAATATTAAGGGACCTTGGCAAATGTTATAATATGGATATCATATTAGTACTAAAAGCCACAGGACAGCTATTATATTAGTTTTAGATGCTATAATATGGACATTGTATTAATATGAAAGGCCACAGGAAAGGTATGTTATTACTTTTAGGTCCAGAGTATGAGTATAATACTAAATTACACATTTCAGCTACTATGTCAGTTTTTGATGCCATAATATGAATACCATATTAGTTATAAAGTTCACAGGGGAGCTATTATGTCCATTACAATTTCATAGTATGGATGACATGTTTGTATTAAAAGGTCACAGGCAGCTCTTCAGTTTTAAAACTAATATTATATCCACATTATAGCATGTGAAACTGATATAACAGCTTTCCTTTAGCCTTAAAGCTTCCCTTTGGCCCACAAGGGTTCTGTGTTTGGGACTGGGGTCTCTGATGGCTTCATGAATGTGGCATGCTTGGTGGCTAGGAAGTTTCTGTGCCAAGACGAGGAATGCCTGGATGCTAGGAAAACTTCTGTGCAAAGACACGGGATGCCTACCTGCTGTAGCAATGCCCTGCATTAGAAGGCTTTGTGCTAGAGTCTTATCAGCTTTGACCTTGATCGCAGGCACACAGCTCCTGGGAATAAAGAAACACTCTTGTTATACAATAAAAATGTTTCACCAAGCTCCCATGCTCCTGGACCTGCCCACCTAACAGTAACTGTAAACAATAAACTTTCTTGATAGCTACACAAAGCTTCTAACATTGCATATTGTAACTGTAGAATGTAACTGAGGAATAAGCTGCATAAAGTTGCTAACTCTATAACCTTCCAAATGACACAATAAACAATAGTATATTACTGATGCCAATGACCAAATGCAACCTATTGATATAAATAAAGCTGGCAGCTTGACCATTCTGCCATTCTGTCATTCTGACTCTGCATCTTCTCTCTCTCTGTCTCTTTATATTTTCCTTACATTTAATATTAATATCCATACAGTGATCTATAAAGCTAATATAATAGCTACCCTGTGACCACATTATTGATATTGCATTAGTATTAAAGGCCACAGAGAAGCTATAATATTAGTTTTAGTTACAATATTATGGATATCATAGTAGTATTAAAGGCCATTGAAGGAGTTATGGATGCCCAAACTCTTGCATGAGTCTAAATCTAGTTGAAATTCTAAGTAATTTTATTGTCTCTAGCTCATCATGAAGCTCATGACAACTAATGGATCTCTGGGGCTGAAGATGTAGCTCAGTGGTAGAAGTATTTCCTAGCATGCAGGTAGGACCAACCCTCAGAACCACAAAAGGAAAAAAAAGAATTTGTGTCTTATTTGTGTAATCAAATAGAAAATGAATAATCATTCCTCTTAAGAAAACATGTTGGGCCTAAAACACTTGAGACTCTCAAAATCAAAATACTCTCCTTATAGTGTATTGCACACCTAGACCATCATGAACAGTGGTGTCACATCATAAAGCATGTTCACATTAAGCTTACCATCAAAACTACAAAAAAGGCTTTATTGACTGTTGATAAGAAACATGAACATAATCTAGCTTAGGAAATTATTAACACAACATTAGGATAACATTAGGATAAAATGTAATCATGGCATTTCCCACATGAAATAACTCTACTAATAAATACATAATTTCAAAAGAAAGTCAAATTTCTGATATCAAAAGCAAATTGATACATTTTTAAATAATATTTTGAACAAAGGCAAAACACTTAAAGAGTTCTCCCACAAGAATTCCTGACAACATAAAGTATCATGCTCATTAGAAGGCCCATCCCTTTGTATGCAAGGAATAAGAGAACTTTCTGATGAATGTAGAACTTTAATAGGACATATGGGCATGCTTTCTAAATTTTAAAGAAAAAGAAAAAAGATCTTTTTTTAAAAAAAGCTTATTTTTAGTAAATATATCTGAATTACAAAAAAACATCTACTGACTTGTCTCTTACATTTTGTAATGATTTTCATCTCAGGAAATTTCATCTATAGTGGTTTTAAATATTATGAAATATCAATAGTTGACATTAAAAATATCATCATCCCTCTTCTCTTTTAAAACTGATTTGAAATTTTCTTAGAATAATTTCATATGAATTTGGAAGATGCACTGTGGTATATATATATATATATATATATATATATATATATATATATATGTGGAAATACATGACCTTTTTAAAAAAATCTTTATTTTTAGTTGTAGTTGGACACAATACCTTTGTTTTATTTACTTATTTTTATATGGTGCCGAGGATCGAACCCAGGTCCTCCCATGTGGTAGGTGAGTGCTCTACTACTGAGTCACAACCCCAGCCCCAATACTTGATCTTTTTAAAGCATACCTCTCATGCTTGAGTCCTGTCAAAGACATCTTCTGTGTGTGTGGTGCTGGGATGGACTCCATGGCCTCTCACATGCCAGGCAAGTGCTCTGCCACTGAGCTGCACATCCAGTCTCCAAAGATACCTTAATAAACGGAAATTAATTAAAATAATTTGATTATGAGCACTTCCAAACAAGACAATTCTCTCAAACAAGCCAATTCTCTCAATCAAAAACAAAGTAAGCTAAAAGTAATTTTTAAAATATTTCTTATAAAAAATAAAAGTTCACAGAATTAAAAATTCTATAAAGGGCTAGAGTTGTGGCGCAAAGGCAGAGCGTTTGCCTGGCAGGTGTTAGGCCCTGGGTTCAATCCTCAGCACCACATATAAATACACAAAATAAATAAATAAAATAAAAAGATCCACTGACAACTAAAAAAATATTTTAAAAATTCTGTAGAAAACTGAAAGAATATTAATCAAAACTTGAATTGGAAAAATCTACTGCACAGAACTGGAGACCTGGAGGCCATGGGGAATTACATTACAAAATAACTCTAAAATAAGAAAATGAATCAATTAGCATACAGAACCTTGGACTGGTACTTAGAGTTCTCCCACTGGAAGGGATCCTGGGATCATCAGGGCTCAAGGCTGACTGTCATCTGCCCTTTAACAAATTCTGACTTTATTTCAAATGTTCATTATCTATAGAGAAAATAAAAAGAGAGAAAGGTGACTTTTCTAAAGTTATCTTATGGTATATTGAATTCTGATAAAGTCAAAATAATTCATCCAATGCAGGATGTCAGTGTTTATACAATGGTCGTTATTTGTGCACCATTACAAATATACTGCCAATTAGCACAGCAGCCAGGGAGCTGCTCATCCTAGACTAGCAGGGGCAGAGTCTGGAGGAGGGGGAGGGAAGGTCAGGAGGAGGAGGAGGGGGCCTGGAAGATGGGTGGGGTCTGGAGAAGAGGCAGGGTCTTAAAGAGGAGGAGGCTGGAGTTATAGCTCCATGGTAGAGCGCTTGCCTAGCATGTGTGAAGCACTGGGTTCAAACCTTAGCACTACATAAAAGTAAATAAACAAAATAAAGGCATTGTGTCCATGTGCAAAACAAAAATTTAAAAAAAGAGAGAGAGGGGAAGGTGAGGTCTGCAGGAGGAGCAGGACAGGAAGAAGGGAAAGATCTGGAAGAGAGACAGGGTCTGAAGGAGGGGGAGAATGAGTCACAAGGGGGCAGGGCTTGGCAGAGGGGTGGGACCTGAGGGAGGGACGGGCCCTAGAACAGGAGTAAGACATAGAGTAGAGGCAGGGTAGGAAGGAGGGGGAAGGTGGTTCAGGAGGCAAGGCAGGGCCAAAGAATATGGGTGGGATCAGGAGAAGAGGCAGGGTCTGGAGGGGGAAGCCTTAGCAAGAGGGTCCTGGAGGGGTGGCTTCTTGCTAATTAAGAAAATGTGTGGCAGTGGTAGCTCAGTGGTAGAGTGCTTGCCTAACATGTGTGAGGCACTGGGTTTGATCCTCAGCACCACATAAAAATAAATAAAATAAATGTATTGTGCCCTTCTACAACTAAAAAAAAAAAAAAATTAAACAACACTAAGAAAAGATTAAAGAATAAAAATGTGGTTCATTATTAAAAATACAGGGGATGTATTTTTAATAAATTCAGTCTTTGTTAGAAGTAATATATTTAAACCTAAGCGGTTCAGAAGGCTGAGGCAGAAAGATCTTGAGTTCAAAACCAGCCTCAGCAAAAGCAAGGCATGAAGCAACTCAGTGAAACCCTGTCTCTATAATACAAAATAGGGTTGCCCCACACCAGGAATCTCCCTCAGGCTGCTCTGAGGATAACGGAACCTCGGGCATCCCTAGAGACACGACCCACGAGGCTCCCCACACCAGGAGTCTTCCTCCGCCACTCTGAAGAGAAGGGAACCCCAGGCATCCCTAGAGACGTGACCCAAGAGAGTCCCCACACTGGCGTCTCCTCCAGACTGCTTTGAGGAGAAGGGAATCCCGGGCCTACTTAGAGACATGACCTGTGAGGGTCCCCAACCTTGGCATCTCCCTCAGGAAACCCTAGAAACATGCCACATGAGGGTCGCCAAGACAGGCGTCCCCATAAGGTTAATCTAAAGACAAAGGAACCCCAGGTATTCCTAGAGCCATGACTCACGAAGTCTCTAAGCCAAAAGTCCTCTGAGGCCGCTCTAAGGAGAAGGGAGCTCCGGGAGTCCCTGGAGGCATGACCCACGAGGGTCCCCAACCTGGGTCTCTCTCACAATCTGCTCTGAGAAGGGAGCTCTGCCCCTCTCTGTGGAGTGACCCAACATTCCAGTGAGCTGGGGCTCTCCTGGGTTGGTTCTGAGGGGGAAGCCAGCTCTCCTCACTCTCAGGGAGGCAGCATTAAAGATGGCGGCGAGGCCCTGCCCCTTATTGACCACGCCCCTTTGGCCACGTGCATGTGCACCAGCTGCTCACGGCTCAGAGGCAGGGCCTGTCCTGGCTCCCTGGTGAATGTCAGCACCTTCTTCCACCCTCAGCAGTTACTGAATAAAATCTGTTCCCACTGCTGTAACTAGGTCTGGCTGTGGCACCATGAGGAGTGGAATCTCAGGAGAGGAGAAATGGAGTCCAGGAGACCCCTCCCTGCACTCCACCAGGCTAAGGGCTGCAGCAGCCTGAGCCAGGTGGGCAGAGGCACAGAGGGAGGCTTCCACAGGGAGTCTAGACCCTCACTCAGGCACCCAAGGGCAGAGACCACCACAAAGGCTTCTGGGACATGTAGTCTTTGAGACAGAGTGACTTAGCCAGGGTCTGCCCCATTTTAGAATCCGGAATTTTAAGAAAATCTGTTAATTCCAAACCCAGGATGACCACTGTAGGAGGATAGAAGAACCTAAGCTCAGACCAAATTCCCAGTAGCCTCTGAAAGCATTCTAGGTCATTCAGTCTGTCCTGCCTGTCCAGCTCTCACCATAGACGCCTCTGGGAGCTGCAGGCTACACAGATTCAGGGTTCTCAAGGATTCTAGACAGTGTAGTCTGGTGCTCTTCTCACACAATCTTTGCCCTTCAGGACCATGGAAGTTGTGGGCCATGTGCTGGCCCAGGCACCCTGGAGGACCCTGACAGTGGACTCTGGTGTTCTACCCATGCATCCCTCACCCCAGAAGCCTAGGGGCTGCAAGTAGCACATTTACCCTCATACCCCCAGGAATCTGGGTAGTGCAGTCTTGTATTCTACAATGAACCCCTAGTGATTCTGAACAGTGTAGCCTGGCATTCTGACCATTTAGCCCTTACTCCAGAAGCCTAGGGGGGCTTCAAGTAGCACATTCACCCTCATATACCCACCCAGAATTCTGGGTAGTGTAATCCAGTCTTCTACAATGCAGCCCCAACCCCCAGCAGAGGTCTCTAGAAATTGCAGGCTACACAGTCATTCAGGCATCCCTAGGGATTCTGGACAGTGTAGTCTGGTGTTCTGCCAATGCAGCCATCACTACAGTGGATTCTGGGAGCTGCAAGCCCCCAAGGATCATGAGTATTATAGCCTGGTGCTATGTTCAACTGTACAGTGACTACTTAGAGCTCAGAGCCCTCAGGAATTCTGGGTATTGTAGTCAGTTCTACTCAGTCAGCCCTGACCGCAGAGGTCTCTGAGAGCTATGGGCCATTGATTATTCTGGGTTGTGCAGTCCATCCTACCTAAGTGGACTTCATCATCAAAGCTCTGGGATCTGTGTAGCACAAGCCTGCCTAGACACCCCTGGGAGTCTGTGTAGTGCAATACAAACCTTGCCCCGGCAGTACTCAAAAGGTAGGTGTCTAGGAGCTGCAGGACCCCAGGGATTCTGGTAGCATAGTCTTGCCTTCTGCCTCCATAGCCCTCACTGTGGAAGCCTCTGAGTCCACATGGACACCAGGCACCTCCAAGAATTCTAGGTAGTATAGTTCAGCTCCCTACCATGAAGCCCTCACTATTGCAGATCCTGGGAACTGTGATCCCCCCTGAGGATTCTGGATAAGTTAGTCCAGTGTTTTGCCTACATGCCCCTACTGCAAGGGCCATGAGAACTGAAGGCCACATGCTTGCCTTGGTACTGAAGACCTCACTGTGGAAGCCTCCTGGAATTGCAGGCAGCACATTCACCAGTGTGTCCCAGGAATTGTAGGTATTGTAGTCTGACCTGCATAATGCACAGCTCTCACTTGGAAGGCCTCTGGGAGTTGCAGGCTGCATACTCACCTGGGCAACACACCTCACCAAGGATTCTGGATACTGTAGTTAAGCTCTCAGTCCAAAGTCCTCACAACAGAGGATCCTGAGAGCTGCTGGCACTGAGATTTGTGGGTAATATAGTCCTGTGTTTTTCCTACTCACTGAAGAAAATTCTGAAACTCAAATTCCCCCTTAGGATTGTGAGTAATGCAGTTCAATAGTTTGCCCACTCACCACAGAGCTGCAGTCCCTGATGGTTCTGGATAATGCAGTCTAGGGTTTGCCTGCACAGTCCTGCTGAGGATCACAGGAGCTGAAGACCCCATGCTTTCCCAGTACCCTAGATATTCTAGGTAGTGTGCTCTAACAATACAACTGTCACCACAGAAACCTCTGGGACTTACAGGGTCAGGGTATATAGGCATCCCCAGAAGTTCTGAGCATTGAAGTCTGGTATTCTGCCCTTGCAATTCTCACCCCAGAGGCTCTTGGGCAGACAGGCACCCAAAAGTAATTGGTAGCATAGTTTGATATTTTGTCAATTCATCCCTCTCTGCAGAGGTCTCAGCAAGCTGCATGTCCCCAAGAATTATGGGTAGTACAGTTTGTCATTTGACCCATACTGCCATCACTTCAGAAGGCTCTGGTAACTGCAATGAGGATTCTGTAGTTACCCAGGATTCAGGGTACTGCAATCCATCATAATCTTTACATCTCTCACCCTAGAGGCTCCTGAGAGCTTCTTACTGCATTTTCATGAGCCCTTACCCTCAGGCCCCAGTGAGACTCCAGGCACTGGGCCCCCCCTGCACCACCTTGAGGGGGCATTTGTGTCCTTATACACTCAAGCCACACAAAACACATTGACATACCATGATAATGAGCAGCCGAAGCCTCAGTAAGAAATACTGTTGTTGTTGTGGGGCTGGGGATGTGGCTCAAGCAGTAGCACACTCGCCTGGCATGGCCTAGGGAACTGGGTTTGATCCTCAGCACCACATAAAAAAATAAAGATGTTGTGCCCACCAAAAACTAAAAAATAAATATTAAAAAAAAGAAATATTGTTGTAAAATAAGTTCTGCTAAAATATTAGCTGAGAAAGTAAAGAACATGGCAGAACTTACTTCTCAGCACACCAGGCAGTGCACAGGAAGCTTCTTCCTAATGTTTTCCTCACATGGACCTGGAGTTCAATCCCCAGCACTACACACACACACACACACACACACACACATACACACACAATTTTTTTTCCTACTCTGTAAAACATGGCAAATAGTTATACAAAATTATGTTCAGCATCCCATATCATCAGGGAATCATAAATTAAAACAATAGTGAGGTAGTATGGCACAGCTATTAGAACTGCTGAACTCTAAGAAACAGCAGTGCACCAACATCTGCAGGATGTGAGATACCAGCAGTCTCAGGCATTACTAGGAGAACATGTGGCATGGCCACTTTGGAAGATGATGT